CTGACTCGTGATTTTCTCACTAAGGAACCTTCTTCATTGTCCTCTTCATCTTCAGAGCCACGGGCTTCGGTATTCTTCCTCTTAGAGGAAGACACACTTAAAATTTATTCATTTGCGGAGCTAATAGAAAGCCTAGCAGAAGGAACAGAAGCGGGGTTGATGCCACGAATGGCTAACCCTAAAAAAACATCAAAAGAAAAGAAAATGATGAACAAAGAGAAGGAAAACTATGGGAATAAAAATCTACCGTGGGTCTTCACTTTCCATCCAAATTTTTGTGAAAGAAATTTTCAAGATGTCTTGTCCATGGGAGCAGCGGTCAACATTTTTTCTACCCAATCACGGAAGTCAGGAATTTCTACAAAGACTTTCATGGTTGCTGAAAAATGAACTTACACTTATGTGAAGAAAATTAAAACGTCAAGGAAAGCAAAGAAATAAGAGAAAAAATACTTACGTGCAAAGTTCTACTTCTCAAGGAAGGGCATATTCTCATCACCCACTAACTCGCGAGTGGGAACAGAAACAAACCGAGCGTACCAGCCATGGTCACGGTCATCCTCGGAGTTGACTCAAACTCTTTTACTTCTAGCCACATGGGAAGAAACACCTTCACGAAAAAGTTTTAGAGAGTACATTTGGAGTAAGTGGCGGAAATTAAAAGGGGCAAAAACTAAACCTGACAAGTAACGATGGCAAGCAACTGCCCTCCACACAATTGGACCTATTTGACTAAGGTAAACAATGAAATAGCGGCAAAATTCAATGATCGGGATCAATAGGAGGGGTAAACCCTAAGGTAAAAGGGTAGATATAAATAAAGGAATAACATTCATGGTAAGAGGTGATTCTATCATCGGCACTAGGGGTCATTACTGAAAAATCAGGTTTCCAGTGACATTCACATCGAACCAAGGAAAGGAGTCCTGGAGTAAACAAGCTAGGATAATGATCAGCAGGGCTAAGAGACGTTATGGAAGAAACTTGTTTCCTCATAGCGATCTGATACAAAAGAAAATTCTTGTGGGACAATCTCAGAAACAGCGGATTCCCGCATGGGTTCATTATGATCTATGAAGATCTAGGAGTTAAGGGAGTTCTAGCCCTAGAAGAAGAAGGATTGGTAGTACTACTTTGAGGAGTAGAACTACGAACAGACAAAAAATCCAAGCTACATAGTCTGCCACCTCTCCTACTCCTAGTAGGGGCAGTAGATGGAGGGAGCTCATCGACGATCACTACCTTACGAGGGTCTGATGATGAAGAAGGGTTTAACGAACGAGAAGAAATCTTTAGTGGTGAAGATACAGAAAAAAAAAAGATGAAGAACTACAAGAAAAGTTAAAAATATGAATGTAGAGAAGAAGAAAGGAATTTCGAAGTTGAGTGTGATGAGGTATTTACAGGGGAACGCAACCGTCATCAGAGATGGTAATTATGAACTGTCATCATGGAACCGTCACTTCTTGACTGATGCAGCCGCAGAAAAACTCTGAAAAGGCGTTGAAAACTACATAACCAATTGCAACAAGACACGTATCTTGAGCATTAAATAGACATGATGTATGTCTTATCGACTCTGAAGAAGGCATTATAATAATCGGGAAAAGGCGACAAGGAATTCCCGCCACAACCACTTCCCGAATATTTAGTCGAGAATATTCAGAAAGTGGGGGACTATCTGTATTGGTGGGAAAAAAAAAGATATGACACGCGGACCATCAGCAAAGTGACAAGTGGCACTTTCAGTTGAGTCAATAAAAAACAAAAAAGGCACGAACGAAATACCCCTGGTGTTTCATCAGAAGAGGTACCGGACCTGACATCTGGAAAAGAAGAAATAGGCACGAGATAAATGAAGACCATAAAAGCGGAAGATTCATGAATCTGTTATAAATAAGGAAGGGAAATCGACATTGATCTTGATTACGGAAAATCTTTAGTTATTATTATAACCGTTACAATTAAATATTGTATTGGACAATCAAGGCAATTAATGCCATTAACAAGCCAGAATTATGTAGGGAAACTGTTATAATTGTATATCTTTATATAAGGACTCGTTCCTCATTTGTAAAGGCATATGAATATTTTTCAATATATGCAATCAGTCTTTTACTTTATTCAAGTGCTCAAACCGCAATTCTAGGAGAGATTAGCAATCAACATTAAGCTTTCTTTCCTTACCTATTATTTTCATAATTTTTTCTGTTCTTTGAATTACCAAAAAAGTGAAGTAATTTTGGTTACTAGTAATTTTTTTTTAATATTAGCTTTGATCGAGAAATCTATTTTTGGGTTAAACAACTCCCTCCATTTCAATTTAGATGACATTTTTTGCTTATCGAGAGTCAAACTATGTAAAGTTTGACTAATATTTTAAATTTTTTGTTTATCATATTAACATTAGAAAAATTACAATTTATAGTACTTTCGTACAACTTTAGATTATCTAAATTTTAATTTTAAAAACTAAGTTGAACTTGTCCAATTTAGCTTAAGTTTAGTTAAATTGACTCTCGATAATCGAAATATGTCATCAAAACTGAAACAGATGAGGTATATGGGGAAGTAAGATGCATGCACAATATTTGGATTATCTACACGAATGTACAATAACAGTCAAAAAGATTAAAAAGGGAGGCACGTTTAGCTACCAATTGGCCCGTAAATGGAAGAAATTAATAGGGGTTTTGACACAGTTACCCACAAAAATAAACCTATTTACCCTTGTCTATCCATTTGTTTTTCTACCCATAAACTAATTACATTTTCTACCCATAGTAGTTTTTGTGGGAAATTTTTTCGTTATTCTCCAATTCTTTTTTATTTCTATGCTTCTTTTCTTTTTTCCTTTTTTTTCTTTCTTTTCTCCTTTTCTTTTTTCTCCTTTTCTTCCTATTTTTTTCTTTTTTCTCTTTTATTCATTTATTTTTGCCCAAATCGTATTGTTATTTTTACCATAACTTATTTCACACTCAAATTTGACTCCTTTATTTTTTTTATTTTTATTTTTTCTTTATTTCTTGTTCCTTTTCTAATTCCACGTGATTGTCATGCAAACCTTGATCTCCTTCCCTACAAATATCAATACATACTCTACCATTAGCAGTAACACCAACCAGTGATGGAGCAAGAAAACATAATCTACGGCCACTAAATCTCCATATATACTAGTTAGAATAGAAAATGATAATAAATATTGGAAAATGCAATAAAAATATAAGTAGCAAAAAAGACTTCTAGTACCATATGATACCAATATGGTATACATGTATACTAACAGAGTATATGATTGCTCTAGAATATTGCTACAACTATCTGTGACTATACTACTGTACCAAAACATTAAAGGATACAATAGAAGTATGAGAAAATTACATGCTCACATTGCAAGCTAAATATTCGCAAAGCAACTTGCTCATTTCATATACTAACAGGGTATATAGTTGTATGGGTCGTTCCAACAATTGCCTATAATTATAAAAACTATTACATAATACACACAATCTATATCCATCAGCACAAAAAAATTCCAACACTGCAAATCACGTTCATATAAATAATTTAAGAATAGAATTCACTTAAAAATGCAGCCAAAACAACCAAAATAATGTTCAAACTACCATATGATACCAATATGGCATATAACTATACCAACATGGTATACAGTTTTACTGGTTAATTTCCGACAACTATATGACTATACTACTATTACATAACACATATGCATAAAGAGAAAAATAAAAAAATAGTGTATCACATATTAATATAATAAAGTATTTCAAGATATTGTACTATATTACTATTATTAAAAGAAAATCAAATATTGTACTAATTAAATGCAGCTAATACAACCAAAAAATGATTCAACCAGCATATGATACCAATATAGTATATAGCTATACTAATAGGGTATATAGTTGGAATGAATTGTATACCAAAATGGTATATTTGTATATTATTTGAGTATCAACTTTCCAAACAAACTCATATAGGATTAGATCAAAACAATTAAAAACTCAAACAAACCAAGTTATGAGTTTCAAGCTTCAAGGTCCTTCAATGGTGGATTTGAATTTTTGTACAATAAATCTCCAAAACCAGTTTGGGTGAAGAGAAAGACGAAGGTATTAGTGAGAAACAAATGTGAATTGCCATTGATGATGAACCCCAGAATACGACAATAAGAGAAGATTAGTAGTTTTTGGTCACATATGTGTGCTTTTTACAGAGATGATACGAGATTTGGATTAGAATTACTGAAATTGGGATTGTCGTTTTTGCTTCAAATGAAAAAAGAGCAGAGTGGAGTAAGAGTTGGAGAAGCAGTTGAGCTGGGGGACAAGCTGCGCGTGATTCCAATTATTACTCCCTCATATTATTGGGAAATAACCGGGTAAATAGTTTGGGCAGCATGGGTAGGAGTAGTAAATAGTTTGGGTCTGTGCATTAAAGGGTAGATAGTTTAAAATTAATGGGTATAAAGTAAGATTTTCCCAAATTTTAATATCCTAAACCAAAATATGGAAAGTAAAATTCCCGCATATATGAAAATTAAAATCCGAAACAAGGAATTGATTCAGTATTTTTTGGTATTCTTTGGTCCAATTAATTTAGATTCGCCATATAATTCGCTAAATGAAAAATTATTACTTTTCAAGAATTATTCTGAGGATTAAAACGTGTAATTACTTTTAGCTTTTTACGTACCTTAAAAAAGTAAGAACATTATTTATGTCACGCGTAGAATCGTATTAAATATATATCAAAATTATATCGACTATTAGGTTAGTCATATAATTTAAGTGTATAACTTATTTTTTCGGATAATTACATGATAAATTTACTATTTTCTCAATAATTTGGTGAATATTATGCATCCTATACAATTCTTGTATTGTGAATTTGTGAGTATTTTTCAAACCACTTATTCAAATTCATCTTTCATGTCGAAAAAGGAAGGAAAAAAGAAAAGAACAAAGAAAATGAGAAGGTAGTAAAAATATATATACTATTATACTATGTTTGTGATAAAAGGCCTTTGATGCCATAAATTGATGGCTGCTTTTTAGCTTCTTTGAGGTCAAGGGTTTCGAGTCGACAGCGGTAAATCCCAATTTCTCTATAATCCTTTTATCGAATTTCAATTTCAATTTCAGTTTCAACTTTTATGATTTATTTTGAGAATAAAGATTCAATTTTAATTGCAGATCACAAAAAGGCGATTTTTATCTCAGCTGTTCAATCGATTTCAGGTTTAATTTCTCTTCCGATTTCTAATGAAAACAATTTGTTAATTTTCCCTTTACCTCCCGATTTGCATATAATCACTGATTTTGTCGATCTTGCATATATGTATATGTAAAACTTGAAAGAAAATTATGTGTGTGCGCAAAATCTCTGTGCGTGCGTGCGTGTGAGTGTGTGTCTCTGTGTTCCTCTGTCTCTGTGTGTGTGTGTGTATCCACTGCCTTTAGATGCTGGCTCTGTTGATTGATATGTTTGATTAACCTTTTGTTGTCATTCCAAAGTACCCTTTGTCTCTAATAAATCTTCTCTTGAAAAATCTGTTGGTTTGTTTCTGTTTCACTAAGTACTAATGACCAAATTTCAGCTGTAAATTGCTCAGAGAGGACATCTTGATAGTGCTGAACAAACTTTTTATCTAGCTTATGAATTCAATTGTTTACTATTATGCACATGCTTGGAATTTCATGTCTTGTTCCAGTTCCCAAAAGCTTCTTTTCTTATAATGATAATAGTGTATACATAGGCAGCTTGCGCACACCTCTACTATTCCTCCGGGTACTTGCTATCTCCCATACAGGTTTCGGGGTAACTCTGTCCACGAAGGCTTAACTAGATGAGAAGAAATCACTAGTTTTTTTTTTCTCTCCACTGGAGTTTGGTTCCCGAAAGCTTATTTCCTGGCATCTGACTTAATTAAAGGACATTCTAACAAGGCTTCAAAATGGAGTTCAACTATTTGAGGTCCTTCCATTCACTTTTTCAAATGTCTTGCTGTAGGATTTTTGAAAAGTTGATTGTTCTTCAAAGTCTCAACTAGTATAGTTTTCAACTGGCATTCAAGGAATATGGACCCAGACCCCACCTGTTGGCTGAGTATGTTGTTGTTGTATTCAAGGAATATGGAGCAAATTATACTTACAATTATAACTCTATGCCGGACCTCTCATCTTGCTGCATTATTATGCTTTCTTCAGGGAAAACAAAAGGAAGAAACACAAGCACGGACTTGTCTTATGCGTGAAATCACTCTGGATATATAACTATTTCTTTGCAAATATAGCACTATGTTAGTTTTCTGCTGCTATCTTGGTGCAATGAGCTATAGTAACTTAAAAATTTATTGTTTTGATCGATCAAATGGAATTAGTTAAGATGGGATATAGAACAGCTGAGTATTCACACTTATTGTTAGTAATTTGTTTTTGACTTCTTGCCGCTGACTTGTGTTTTTAAATGCGCTTTACAGTAACTTGAGCTATGGGAAAGAGGAAGTCAAAATCAAAGCCACCTCCAAAGAAGAGGATGGACAAACTTGACACTGTTTTCAGCTGTCCTTTCTGTAGTCATGGCACCAGCGTGGAGTGTCGCATGTAAGTTAATCATAAAGCATTCTCATATCCAATTTTTTTCTGCGTAGGCATGGGATAAATTAAGCTTTTCCCTCTTTGCCTTCTTACCAGTCAATATTGCTAGATGCAGATGATAACTCCTACAATAGTCCTTTAGAAAGGTCTTGCTGAATTATGTCATCCCCTTCCCCCTTCTTCCGCCAGCCAAAAAATCAATAAATAAAAGTAAGGAGTGTAATAAGTTTCGTTCCAGCTTTATACATGCCGTACCTGCTAGTTTTTACATGGAAGTGTTCAGTTGCATCTCTCGGCGTATTTAAAAAAATTCAAATCATCATGTCATCATGAAAAACATGCATTACTTCTCATTCTTGGTCAGCAATTAATTTAACTTGCAATTGCTTTTGGCTCATTCTTATGACAAGTTCATCTTCCCTTGTATTCAGTGATATGAAAAACTTGATTGGCGAGGCAAATTGCAGGATCTGCCAAGAGAGCTTCAGCACCACTGTCACAGGTATATCCGGACATTTGTTTCTCGTGTATCTATTAATTTATTTACGCTTATGTTTTGTTATGTTACTTGATTAGATGATTAAAACCACTGGGCTGAAAAATTCAATGCGTAACTTGTAATGTTCATGAAAGATTAGTCAGAGAAATGGGACTAGGCGACTAGCTTATTAGAGTAATCTTTATCGATGTGTTCAATCAGTGGCATCAATAGGATTTTTCGTAAGCGGTGTCACGTTTTAAAAGTGAACAAATAAACAGAACACTACTAACAACATCATATATAAAAAAGAACACAATTTGAATCATCATATTAATAGAACACAACTCAAGTATATTACTACTACTTTTTTCGGTTTGTTTTTTGAAAATTATTCAAAAATAACCTCATTGGAAATAATACTAAGTAGTATTTTTTCTATATAAAGTACCTAATAATCACTAAAAGTTCCTCATTTATTTAATTTGACAAATTGTTCTTAATCAATTTCATTGGCAAGAAAGAAGATGAAAGCAAAAAGAAAAAGAATAACAACAACTAATCATGGAAGCAGCAGCATCCTTTCCAACTAGTTTAAATAATTATTGGTACTAGAGTTCACAAAAGTGACTCCTGATCAAATGGCTAGACGTTTTGCTAGCTTCTAAGAGGTCCAACAGTTCGAACCCTGTTCAACACAATGTAATCTGTTTTGTAAATGAGGGACAAAAATTTTGAAATAATAAATGAAGCTTCCAAGCTTCAAATCCACGACCTCTACTGGAAAACTGAGGCGCCTGACCGAAAGAGCTACACAATTATTTTTGCCAAGTGGTGTCACGTTATTTATCCGCATTTTTATTTTTGCTTTTTAATTATATATACATATTTAGTAAAATTTTGCGACCAAAGTGGTGTCACGTGACACCTCTTGGCCTAAAGGTGAATTGAAGGATCGGTTTTCTGTCAGATAAACTGCAAATTGCATTCGCTTATGTTAACCCGAGTTTATGTTGGCAAAAGATGTTGCCCTTTGCCTGCATTTGTCTTAATCTTTACCCGTTTAATGTCTCATTTAAGACCTGCTCACCTGCATACACAAGTATAGCTTCCATCCTAACAAATTAAACATTCAATTGATGTCGGAAATTACCATTTGGATGTACTGAGTTGGCTAACAAGTTTTTTTTTGTGTTTTTCTCCTTGCAGCACTAACAGAGCCTATTGATATGTAAGTGCACCTAACCTTGCCTTTGATTTCTTCAGTGGTGGATGTAGTATGTTAGCTGTGGGTGTGGCAACCCCCGCGACCTTCAGCTTGAAATTATATAGAGTTGAACCATTTTAAGTAGTACATATTATTATACTAAATTCGCACGGATTTACTGTGAATTCTAAATCCGCTTCTGTTATTCTTTCCTCTTCTCAGATATAGTGAATGGATTGACGAGTGTGAACGAGTCAACAACTACGAAGAAGATGATGTTTCCTACAAGTTAGATCCGAATGAATGATCTGCTTCAAGAATGTGCAGACTGTTGAGTAGCCAGAAATGAATTTAAAGCTGCCTTAAGCTTGACTAAGGTTTTGGCAATTATTCCGTCGCACTGCCTAAGAACCTAAACTTATCCAGGCCTACTGGAGTCCAATAAGTAGCTCCATTTAAGAGGCTTTCTATGTCCAAATAGTTTGAAACAGTCAGTTGCTATCTTGTTTATGTTTTGCTCCTGCAATTATAGCTTGTTTATATGAGACTGCCTTAATGATGTGAACCTAATGTTAAGTAGGTTTATTTATCCTATTACATGATGCCTAGGTACATGTTAAGCCCTTCATTACCCTTAGTAAGGGATGTAAAAGGATACCTCTTCTGAAGTGTTCCATATATATGTGAATAAATAATCTTTTTAAAGAAATAATAGTGTATATATATATATATATATATATATATATATATATATATATATATATATATATATATATATATATATATAGACTAATAACAACCAGTCTTAGTCCAAATAGTTGTGGCAAAATAGATAAGAAAGCAGTTATCCATCCATATTATCAACTAAAAGTGGCTTGGTTAATGAACTTTTTAAAGATGGGTCAGATATGAATAAGATCCATATTATTCACTTAAAAATGGATAATCAATGGATTTAACTTTTACATTTGCAAAGACTCAAATTGGGGGTTTTGGAGATTAGGAATTCTTCCAAAAATGATCATATTCATATTATTTGCTGGTTAATCTATTTTCTATCCGTATTCAATATATGTCGGGTCGGATGATTTATTCATTTTTGCATTACTTGTTTTCGACTCCCTAGTCCCAAACAAATAGAGGATGTCTATGGTACAAAAAGGAAAGCATTAAAACCACCACTGCCATGGATAAGGTCTCACTTACAAGTCGAAATGTGATTACAAGCTGACAGTGTTTAACCAATGTTTACAGGGTAATCTGTTCAAATCTGGGATTGTATTGTTGCATATTAACCATATCTAAAACTTAAAAAGGTTACAGTGTTTTCCACAGCAATATGCGCCAAGAATGTAACAACATAGTAACATGTCCTTTTGACACGAGAATTAATTATTTGTAGCTTAGAGTAAGATTCCCCTATATCTTTGACCAACAGGCTTTATATATAATGGAGGATTGGAGGGAATGTATTGAAGGAAATTTGCTAGAAATGCTAGCATATAAAGTGTCCCGACTGAAAAAGTTTGAACTTAAAGAATAAACATTTGCAATTATTTACCAGTGGCACGAAGGTCGGCTGTGGCATATGCCTATGTCAATGGCACGAACTCGGTCGTGACAAGTCTGTGTGAATGGCCCGAGGTCAGCCGTGGCATGGCACTATGGTCCGAGGTCGACCGTGGCATGCCTAGTATTAGAAGCTTGAATGCACTGCCAAAGTCCTATACAAGGACCAAGATTAGACCAAACTCTTATGCTGAACATGGTTATAAAGCTAACCAAATAACCATTCAAGATAGATACGCTTAAAATCAAATATATATATATATATATATATATATATATATATATATATATATATATATATATATATATATATATATATATATATATATATATATATGGATTAATATTAGAATTTAAAATCTAGACATCAGTGTTGTTTTCAGAAGAAAAAGAAAACGAATTGTCTTCTACTTCAAACGCCATCTTGGAATGTAGCCATCATCATCTATAAAACGGTAAACTATTCATTCACCATTTATTAAAATTCTTTTAGTTGTAGGTACACTATCATCTCTTTCCTTTATTTTACGAGTAAGAAAGTGATCTCTTTCAATTTTAGAAATCTATTTATCCAACTAATTAATGTGACGTGAAATATTATACCTATATATAGTGGTGAAGTCAGAAATTTCTCTAAGGGTATTCAAACTAGAAAGAAGAGAAAAAAATTCTACGATAAAGGATATTTAATATATGTTATATACCTCTAAAATCTAATATTTACCTATATATACAATGTAATTTTTTGACGAAGAGTGATTAATTGGTTACCCCTAAGTAAATGCCTATACACATAATGCTTGGGTTAATTTCTCAACCCAGTGAGTAAATTTTGACTATATAAGTAGTTGCTAGGTCATACCAACACAACACAAGAATCTAGTAACTCCGTTCACCAAAGCTCAAACTAATGGAGAGAAATCACCTAGCGTGTTATTGTTTCATACCAATTAAAGTTTTGTATAGGTTAAAAGGAGCTCTCTTTCCACTTGAGTGGTAGGCCTACATGAACATAGTTACCAAAAAAGTACATAAGAACATGTATCTGATTGCCAGATTGGGCTTCAAATAATGTTTTACACCAAATAGAGCCTCAAACCATGCATTTAAAGTTGTCCATCCTATTGATCATACCTACAATGTAACCATGTAAAACAGCAGCAGATCTTGAAGAAAATGACCGTTACAAATTACCATTTACATGTGGTCACCGAGTCTGACACTATAACATCAATACATTTAGTGTCAACTCGGCTCCAAAATATGTAAATGAGAAGACCAAGTAAATTGGGTTTTCATTTTCAAGCAGTAAAATGTGCTCCATAATTAGATGAGACCGCGTCACAGATGACAATGAAATATTGACCACAAGCCCATGGAAATGAGAGGCATCCCGTTGGCCCTGACTAAATAAGTAAGCAGAAGCCGAGCAACTTGCCCACCAACATGATTTTTGAGTCTAAGATGAAACTGGTGTATAATACACAGGCGAAAAGCCTCTTGTTTGAAAAGCATCGATGCATGTATCTAATTAGGTAATGAAGTAGCCATCCAAATCGTCTACAAGATAGTCATAAGGTTCGCCGGTCCCATAATCAAACCCTTCACAAGTTGGAAGCATTGGAATTGGAGCAGCTTGAATGTTTCCCACATTCTTCAAACTAGCAGCCTTTGCTCTGCCCTTAACAGTTCGCTTGTTGTCCAAAGGAAATTCAGCAGTAAGTCTTCCCATTTGCTTTTGCAAATCAGAAACAGATACATTGGTTACCTTCCCTTTGGGGATCTTTTTCCCATCAACAAGTTTCAGTTCCAATCTGTACAAGGCACATGCATCGTACTTGTTGATCTCATACTCGTAAAGATGCCATTCCAGATTTTTCATCGGTTGTGGATCCATGTAGTAGGATCTTTTCAGCCCTCCAAATTCATTCATCATTTGCTTCCTTGACTCGTGCCAACCCCGTCCATTATAATCCGGCAATGACCTCTGCTTTCTGTTTCCACTTTCAAACGCTCTTCGAGGCTTATCAAAGAAAAGCCACTCCCTAATTGTTTCACCTTCAACAACTTTAAGATCAAAGAGCTCTGCAGAAGCATAAGCAAACCAACCGATATCAGATTTTACAAGTAAAGAAAATCCGGCAATGAGAATACAGAAATGCCACAGCACTCTTACCGGGTGCATTCCAGGGGGATTTTGCCGTGGCAGCACCCTCACACTCAGGAACACCAACATCTTTTCCATGTGCTTTTGCACCAAGAGCTTGAAAAAGCAAGTTATCCTTTAAGCCGATACCCATTGGCCGAACAACTGGAGGCCTCCCGGGATAACCTTCATTAGGTGCAAGAGAAGCATGATAGTCACTGCAGTAGTCTTGAGACTTCTGACACCAGTCTGACCCCATCGCAGGTCGGGGGCAATCCCAGAGTGCACATTTCGGCCCCAGGAAAGCAGAGGCTGGAGGACTAATATGAATAGGAGGCAAAGCGTCCTCTAGGCAAAGATTTAGAGCATCAAATCCAGGTAAGTACTGCTGATCGTATTCTTGATGCAAATCAAAAGAATGGTAATCCAATTGGGTTGCAATGCCAAGATTGTTAATCCCCGCATTGTTAACCACTAAAGGCAAGCCTTTGCATTGATCAACCAAGTGGAAACCTTGCTCCTGCAGCACCTGAGTTGCATTGAAACCCTACGGCAAACAATCGCTTAACAGGTAAGAACTAATTGATCACTTAACAGGCTTGCTACACTAGCAGAAAAACCAAAAAATTGCAAAAAGCCTAATCTTAACTTCTTAGAAATCAACCAAAAAAGGAGAGAAACAAGAAAAACTATCTGAAAAGAGGTCAGGAGACTATTTACATAAATGAAAAACATGAAGTAGAGGATAATGGTTACGGGGAAAGATCAGAAAAGATTGGACCGCCAACGGCATTAAGAGAGCTTCAAGCAAGATAACAGTCATGACAGACATCTATAGAAGGGCTACAAGACCAACAATATTACTTACGAGGGAATGTCGGGGCTTAGAGGGCCTACATATCTCCAAGATGAGCATTTTAAAAATACAATTGTTAAGATGGAAGTCCAGACATAAGAAAAAGGACAAGACTACAAAAGATCATATCCATTATCCGCTGGTCTGTAAGCGTGACGCTATGATGATTAAACATGCTACGGATGACGAGATAGACCAAAAATCATATGAAGGAATATTGTGTTAAAAGACCCACAATCGCTCGGAAGCAATGCAAAGTCACCTAAAAACCACAACGCAACACAAATATAGAAGGATTCATATAGGCAATACCAACAAGTTGATAGCAATGTAATTTAAAAGCCATCACCTTGTCGCTTAAAGCGATGAAGCGAAGCAAAGGGCTATCGCTTCATCAATGAAGCTATGCATATCAAAGAAGTATGAGTTTCAGACAATGACACTTAAATTGGTCCTCGATTCCTTAAATCTCAACTTTACGAAGTTGGTTTAATATCAATATTATAATACATTGAACGCTGAAATTAGTTATGTAAATTGCAATTTGATTATTATGGTACTAAATACATATGAGTTTAGATGTTTTTAAAATTCATTACTTGTGTGTTTTACTTCAAAAATGCATGCACTTTACTTTTCACTTTTCACGTCAAACCCCAAGTAACATGTATCTTTGTGCGTTTTTCGCTTATAAAAACACTGATTGTTACACTTAAACTGCACCCGGTTTTGCCAACTCAGTGTAAGATAAGTGTGAGATTTAGAATTACCCTAGTTTCTCAGTCTCCAAGTTGCCTTAAAAGACAAGTTTTTAGTATTATAATAGAAAGAGCCAGAATAGCGTGTAACGGATATAGAGGAATCGTACAAGAGACCAACTAGTTTGGGTTGAAATATAGTTGATTGATTGATATATATGAAGGAAAGGATTTCCAAATCCAAGATTAGCTGGATTTATCATCGCGAAGCACAATGTGGCTGTGAGTGATATCCAGTGAGGTGGTGAAACTTCTTAGAGCAGAAGGGCATGGAAGAAAGATCCAGCTACTGCTGGGAAATTTTTTAACATATATACTAAGAGCAATCTGGAGAAGCATCCAAGAACCAAGTATTATCTCTCCCATTCAATATATAAAGAATTTATAAATAGTGAAAGGTTACCCAAGGAGAAGCAGCAACCTCGTAATTACCAATCAGAAGAGTCCAGCATATGCACAAGATGAAATTACTAAGTAATATGCATACCTCTTGAAAACCAGTAACACTAACTTTTTGAGCATCAGGCTCAGGCTTAGGCGCAGCTAATGGACTGGTCGCATCATCTTCTTCCTCACCAAGTAACAGTCTATAGATGTCTGATGATGAAACAAGGCTTCCTCCCTGCAAGGTCACCCATGAATGTAAAACCCGTAATTGTATATCTCTATACCACCAATACCTGAAGACAGCAACCTACTTAACAATATCACGTTTACTGTAACAAATCAACCACAAACGAAGACAGGAAACATAAGTTCACACATAGCCTACTATACTCATAAACACTATCTTTTGATTAACACAATGAGACTGATCTGCACTTGCTATAAACCTAAATTTTCTATAACCATGTGCTCAAGCATGCGTCAAGACACAACACAGCTTACATATAAGAAGACATGTCAACATGCAAAAAGAATTTCTTGGCGATGCGCACAACTGTATAAGAGTAAAATCTAGTGAACTTCTAGTACTTTTTATTTTTGTTTTTATTTTGCATAACGTTGCCCTAAGACGTCGTTATTGCGGTTGTAATGTGTACATGATAGACAGGTACAAAAGTGTAAAAGCTCTTGGTGTGCTCGGAGCTAAAATGGACAAAAGTGTTTGTTCTTTCCTGCAAAGAAGAAGCCGGGGATGGCTCATTGAGCTCAGCTTTCCATTCGCGCAGCATCTGGTGGACTTGCTCTTCAAGCAACCCAACATCATAACTTCGGCTTTCTTTCCTCGCAGATTGTAGATTAGTTAAAACACCCTGCAGATCATCGACACGGTTCTTTGCCTTGTCCTTGAAGAGCTGGTGCGATGCAGACTTGCACGCACCCCTCTTCGAAACCTTCCTCATCCAATCAAACAGAACAATACCCTCAACTCCTCACCTGCAAAAACCAACAAGTAAATACTTAGCTCTAAACATCCTATTATGTTTCTCAGTTTCTCTTAAAATACACATCCAGCACAAAACCTAAGCCAAAACTAACAAACAAGATATGGCTACAAATTTCCTGTTAGAAAACCAATACCTCAAGCGGTTAAGAAATTTACTAAATATGTACATAAATCAAATTAAGAACCCAGTAACTGGCATTTGAGGTTGCTGTCCTAGAATCCAGAACCATAAAGTTCAAATCCTGGATCCGCCTCCTCCGATCAAACAGAGTACTAAGATTCAAGCATTAATTTCTTATAAAAACCCAGTACTTCCCACGAGCAGAAAAAGGAGCCCAATTATGACTATACCCCATCACAAACAAAAAATTCCAAAAAAAAAGCCCAAATCAGTAATGAACGAGTACCCAAGTAATAAAACCTTCAAAATAAGCAAGAAAACTCGATCCTGCTAAAAACCCAAGAGAGCTACACGATCTTGATGTGGAAACAATAAAACCCCTAATTTTGGAATTAAAAAGCATTTGCACCATCAGATTCTACTCAAATTTATGAATATATAAAACACAAAAAACAGAATAAAATGGAAATGGGTGTTACCGGGGGAGGGAGGGGGGGGGGGGGGTGTTAATACCTGTTAGCGGTTCGTGGATAGAGAAGAACCGAACGAATGTAAGTGAAGATAGAAAAGAGTAAAAGAGAGAGTGAGACTGCTGTCCTCTTTCTATAATTTGTTGGAATTTTGATTTGAGATTTATGTGTTATTACAACTAGAAGCAGAAGACTGGTTAGTGGTTTCTATCAAATACCTAAAGAATAAAAAGCAACAATCTGTGATGACAATTCATGTGTACGCGGCAAAAGCATGAGAGGAGAGGATATATGCTTTGCTTTTTTGAATTTCCTTTTATACCCACCCTCTTCTTTTTTTTAAAGTTTAAACAAAAAAGATTTAAAGGAATATTTTCATTAAAGGAATTTAATATATAAAATTTTAATATTTTCATTATATATATACAATATATATATATATATATATGTATGTATGTATTGTATATGGGCAAAACCGGTCTCGTAGTACAAGCCGGTCTCTCACATGTTAGGCCAAGCTTGAGATATGGTAACCAGGGGCCTAGATCGAGGTAGGGATCTCATCGATTCTGAGTCCGGACCATAACTTCCGCCTTCGAGGGTATCGGGGACATGATTCGGATCGGTCCTGGCCTTGATTAACTTCGAAGAACGTTGTCAGGTAGTTAGGCTCGGCCAACAGAAGGCCGAGATATCCGTAACCGACCGAATATCATGGTGGAGATCTCGGCATATGTCGACGTGAGATCAGCAATCAGTTAATTAGGAGATTTTTACCTTTTATAGAGTTGTACCTAATATAGGACTCCCCTACTATATAAAGGGGGGTCTGATTACATGTAAAACACATTGTAACACGCACTTAGAAGCAATACATTGTTATTTTTCTCTTTAAGATCTTATTCAAATGTGTCCTGATACGGATCAAAGTGCGTCCTGTTCAAGGGTGGCTAATCCCCCAAGGTCGTAACGTTTCAATTTGCGCGGTCTGAATTTAATTTATCATTGTTTATTTCAAATGCAATTTAATATATCGCTTTGTGTCAATTTAATCCACGTATCCTTAAAACCACTTACAAATTCAATTGTTATCTGATTTTGAGGGTAAACAGTTTGGTGCCCACCGTGGGGCTAAGGATAATAATGGTTATTTGATACAAATTTCCGTAATACACACTACTTTACACTTGTTCATTGAAGTGCCTCTAATTTCAGGTTAAAGCTCAAAATGTCAACTCACAATTAGCACCCCTACCTTTTGACAATGAGCCCGGTCATCATGGTGAAAATAACAACATAGCACCCGGTAACGAGGTACCGCCCGTTGATCCCATCGAAATTCCAATCGCGGACCCGTTGGATGCTAACTCGCATGTGGCTATCGACACAAACCTGCCTATCGACCCCGAGAATAGCATCCGTGGTGGAGCCCGATCGGCAGTGCAAAATACTCAAAACAATGGAGGATACAAGATCAATCTACGGATGATCTTCAAAATATTACAGACTCAACAGGCGGTGATAGCCCAGTTACAGAACCAAAGCTGCGCACCGAGCAGAATTGAACCTGATCCATCCCGGGAAGTCACCCGCAGGGAAGAACCAGTCGCAGAGAGGTTGAATGAAAATGAATCAGGGACTAACCCCGAGATCATAAAAATGCTTGAGGAGTTGACAAAATAGATAGAATCAGGGGAGAAGAAAATCGAAGTAAATGACAAAAAGGTAGAAACCTATAATTCCAGGGTCAATCAAATCCCGGGAGCGCCGCCGATACTGAAAGGCCTGGATTCCAAGAAGTTCGTGCAAAAACCTTTCCCTCCGAGTGCGGCTCTAAAGCAAATCCCTAAAAAATTCCGCATGCACGAGATTCCTAAGTACAACGGAACGACCGACCTAAACGAGCATGTTACCTCCTACACATGCGCCATCAAAGGGAACGACTTGGAGGATGATGAGATCTAGTCTGTCTTGTTGAAGAAATTCGGAGAGACCCTGTCAAAGGGAGCTATGATATGGAATCACAACTTGCCTCCTAATTTTATTGACTCATTTGCTATACTTGCAAACTCTTTCGTGAAAGCACACGCCGGGGCTATCAAGGTCGAAACCAGGAAGTTAGACCTTTTCAAAGCAAGACAGAAGAATAATGAGATGCTCAGGGAGTTCGTGTCTCGGTTTCAAATGGAACGGATGGATCTGCCATCGACCGTTGATGATTGGGTCGTTCAAGCTTTCACCCAAGGTATCAATGTTCGAAGCTCGTTGGCTTCACAGCAGTTGAAACAAAATCTGATAGAATATTCGGTTGTTACCTGGGCCGACATGCATAACCGGTATTAATAAAAAATCAGAGTCAGAGATGATCAACTTGGGGCCCCTTCGGGGTCCGTTTATCTCGTTAGATCCATCGATGGAGTCAAGAGAGATATCAACCGTGAACCAAGGTCAAACAGGGATCAGTATCAGCCTTACAATGGAGATCGAAGAAGTAGAGGGTCCAGGCGGAATTCTATGCGAAGTGATCGAGTTCAAGACAATCGGGGACTCATGAGCAAGAACGATTTCGACAGGCCTATCGGGCCTAAGAAAGCACCGAGGTTATCGGAATAACGTCGATGTTATCGCCATTGTATCAGCCATCGGACGCATCAAGGACACCAAATGGCCTCGACCTCTACAATCAGATCCAACCCAAAGAGACCCTAACCAGATGTGCAAATATCATGGCACTCACGGCCACAGAATAAAGGATTGCCGACAGTTGAGAGAGGAAGTAGCCCAGTTATTCAACAACGGGCACCTTCGATAATTCCTGAGCGACCGGGCCAAGAACCATTTCAGGAATAAGGATTCTATTAAACAGACTGAACAAGAAGAACCTCAACACTTCATTAACATGATCATTGGTGGGATCGATGTCCCTCAAGGGCCGATGTTGAAGCGCACCAGTGTATCCATCACAAGAGAAAACGGACTCGAGATTACATACCGGAAGGAACCTTGTCTTTCTATTAGGACTGTGAACTAACAACGAGGCAAAATATGAGGCCATGATTGCATGTCTCGAACTAGCCAAAAGATTGGGGGCGGAGGTGATCGAAGCTAAGTGCGATTCCCTCCTCGTGGTGAACAAAGTTAATAGGACATTCGAGGTCAGAGAAGAACGGATACAAAGGTACCTGGATAAGTTGCAGGTAACATTACATCGGTATAAGGAGTGGACTTAGCAACACGTACCTCGGGATCAAAATAGTGAGGCCGATGCCCTTGCTAACTTAGGGCCATCGGTCAAGGACGACGAGCTCAACTCGAGCGCAGTCGTACAACTCATGAGATTGGTAGTGGAAGAGAGCCACGCCAAGATAAACTCCATAAGACTGACTTGGGACTGGAGAAACAAATATATTGAATATCTTAAGACCGGAAAACTGCCCTCGGATCCAAAAGAATCGAGGGCCATGAGTACAAAGGCAGCCCGGTTTAGCTTGTCCGAAGACGGAACCCTGTTCAGAAGAACGTTCGATGGTCCACTAGCAATATGTCTAGGACCAGGAGATTCCGAATACGTTCTGAGGGAAGTTCGCGAGGGCACCTGCTGAAATCATTCAGGCGCCGAATCATTGGTTTGAAAAATAATCAGAGCCGGCTACTACTGGATCGATATGGAAAAGGACGCGAAGGAGTTCGTACGAAAATATGATGAATGTCAAATACATGCTCCGATGATACATCAACCCGAGGAGCTGCTGCATTCGGTTTTGTCACCATGGCCGTTCATGAATTGGGGAATGGACATCGTTGGCCCCCTTCCATGGGCACCCGATAAGGCTCAATTTATATTGTTTATGACTGACTATTTTTCTAAGTGGGTGGAAGCCCAGGCATACGAGAAGGTCAGGGAGAAGGAAGTCATCTATTTGGGACCACATCATATGCCGGTTCGGAATGCCGGCCGAGATCGTGTGTGACAACGGGAAACAATTCATCAGCAGCAAAGTGACCAAGTTTCTCGAAGACCATAAAATCTAAAGCATCCTATCAATACCCTATCACCCTAGTGGGAACGGACAAGCAGAATCGACCAACAAAACCATACTCCAAAAACCTCAAAAAGAGGTTAACCGACGCCAAAGGAAAATGGAAGGAAATCCTGCCCGAAGTCCTATGGGCGTACCGCATGACCTTAAAGTCCAATATCGGGGCTACCCCGTTCTCGCTGTTTTACGGTGCCGAGGCTCTAATACCAGTCAAAGTCAGAGAACCAAGTCTCAGGTTCCGATACGCAATCGAAGAATCGAATGACGAGGCCATGAGTACGAGCCTGGAAATATTAGATGAAAGGCGCGAATCCGCCCTTGTCTGGTTGGCCGCCCAAATACAGTGGATCGAGAGATATTACAATTGAAGGACCAACATTCGACACTTCAATGTCGGGGACTTGGTGTTAAGAAGGGTCACACTAAGCACCCAAAATTCGAACAAGGGGAAGCTGGGGCCGAATTGGGAAGGGCCGTATCAAATTATCGAGATCACCGAAAAAGGATCATATAAACTTGGAACAGTGAACGACGAGCAACTATCGAACAACTGGAACATAACTCACTTGAAGCGATACTACCGCTAAGGTACGACCCCATTCACTCCTTTTACTTATTTTTGAACTAACACTTGCAGGTAACCAACAAGGAACTTTATAATTTTTAGGCTTGAAAGCATGCGTTTCACTCTTTTTTCCTTGAACCAGTTCTGTCCCAAATAGGTTTTCTGGCAAGGCTTGTAATGAGGCAATAATGGATCGTGCTAACTTAGATCAAAGGGCGATCATGAACTGGTTTCAAAGATCACATCAACAGTATCCGAGGCTTATCTATGATCAACATCGAACAATGGGGGGCATTACCCTCGGATAACGACTTTAGCGAGGACAGAGACTTTGTGATTGAACGGTCTTGGCTCGATCGATAGGATTTACTGTATGGGCCAAACGGTCAAATGAACTGTGCCCGCTAGACTGCTCGAGCCCTGGCACAAAGCTTGTACACATGTGTAACTATTACGCACAAGAATAAAATAAGTCTCTACCTTGCGGATGAATATATTGTCCCTTAAAATTTTTCTTTTTTCATTTCTTAAGAAAATTTCCTACATCTGATCCCCTAAAGGTATCGAGCCCAAGGGCTGCCTTAATCCGTGTTCAAATGATCACTCCCACCCGGGGACTGCGTCCAAAGGCAAACTCAGATGGCCCGGGCTATCAAAGCT